ATTTTATTGAGAAAAAAATAGCTATGAGACAGTTTCAAAACAGGTTAGTAGGACAGTTACAATAATTAATACATTGCATATTGTTGTCTTTGTAGTAGTTATTCATAGTACAAGATGGAGACATGATATCTTGTCTAAACATTATTAGTTGAAAACTTTCTTCTCATTGAACTAAGAGAAAGTATATCTATGCTAACCATTTTGTATATACCGATATAGATTTTTTTTTCATTACAAAATGGTCGTTCATTTATATCCCTCTTTTTGTTTACTTTTGTCAGAGATGGGTATTCCATTACCATTCAAATATTGTAGGTGCATGATTTCAGCAAAGTAATCCAATATAGTCTAGTAGTCCATAATAGTAGCAGGTTATTCACAGGACTGGCAATGTCAGAAGTTGCTGACTTGAGCCTTTTACAGTTCAGCATATTAATATGGTTTTACTTTTTATATCTTGTTCTTTATACTCTTCTTCTGGATGGTTAAGATCAAGATAAAGCAAGACCTATATAACAAAAAATGTAACTTTTGTATTTGACAAGGTCAGTTAAATCCCTTCAGGATTTGCCCTGAATTCCTGTACAGCAGTTTGTAGATCTTTTGTCAGTGTCAGCCATGTGGAAGAGTCATGGCCATTGCTTGACCAATTTGCTCTCTGTGAAAGCCTGAGACAATGTCTTCTTTCTAGGTGACTCTCCTTAGGTGCATTATACATTGTCAATCACTTTCCCCTATGGCCCCATAATCTTCTTGATCAGAAAATTTGGGACACAACTGAGTTATAGGATGTTACGGTACACATTTTCTTATTTCCTGAGTCCTCACTGACCTTGAAGGGCTAGGGCCACAATGTTGGCTGTCCTTGTAGTCCTTCTTTTTCTCTAATTTTTTGGTCTGCAAACTTAAGTTGTTAACTCTCCAGAAGAGAAGCTTAATGATATTGTTACCCTAAAACATAGGGTGTTGAGCTTAACATCAGTATCTGTCTGAATATTCTAAATCTTTAATTCTACATGGTAGAGAATGTATTTTGGACTTTGAAAATTTACTGAGATGTGTTTTGTGGTACAATACACTACTTATTCAGTTGGAAGCATTTTTAAATTTGCTTTTTATTTTTATTACAACTACATGCCATAAAATTCACTCTTTTAAAGTGTCTAATCTGCTGATTTTTATTGTAGTTACAAAACTAGAGTCATCATCACAATCTAATTCCAGAACATTTTTGTACCAAAAACAATCCCATCCACATTAATAGATTTTCCTCTGTACCCTTTCCTCAAGTTGTAGCAACCACTAATTGGTCTTATCTCTGTGGATCTACTTAATTTGGAGATTTCATATAAAGCAAATCACATAAGTGGTCTTTTGTGTCTGATTTCTTTCACTTAGTATGTTTCCAAGGTTATTCCATGTTGTAGTGTATATCATCACTACATTCTCTCTTTTTTTTAAATTTATTGACATCAGTTATTTTTATTTTAAAGAAAGAAAAAAAACAAAAACAGTGGTACAAAATCTCAAAACAAGATTTTAGGAGAGTAACAATGGTGAGTAAATTGTGTATTGTTATTGCCAAAGTAGTTTCTCATATTACAAGATATAGGCAAGAAATAATAAGCAAATAACATAGGTACAAACTTTTTTTTTTTTTTTAAGTCAACAGAAAATGGAAATATACTTTTTAAAGTTTCTAATACTAGGAGAAGATATCATACAATGTCTTTTTAAATAAATTGTAAGTCAAAGATACAGTATAAATCTTAGAAAAATTAAGATTAAGCAATATTCAGAAAATTAAATGATTCAAAACAATTGAACTAAGAAAAAGTTTTCATGATAGCAAAGAAGTACTAAGAATAAAACATAAGATAAATACTGGAATGGCAAATAAATGACCAGCACTTCTAACAGTTTGAGGATAGGATATCGCACAAAGTTCTAATGTGTTGTGGACATGCATAATGACCGTGACAGTTACTGGTGGCTAGAAGTCACTTGAGGAACTGAGCTACAGCTATTTCTTTGAAATCCACCCTGTAGGCTCAAGTGGAATCATGACCCATAGGGTGGAAGAGAAGTCCATTTGTAGAGTGTTCTGATGGAAATATTTTGCTGCTGAACACAAAAGAATAACTGAAAGACTACTACTGTATACCTCTTATTCTCCTCTGTTTGTTTGCCCTATTTGGAGGGTTCTTTACTACATTCTCTTTTTAAGAATGAGTAATATCTCATTGTATGGGTGTACCAAACTTTGTTTATTCATCTGTCAGTTGAAAGATTTAAGCTGTTTCCATTTTTTGGCTATTAAGAGTACGACTTCTTGAACTTTTTTTTTTTTTAAATTTAGTGCAAGGTATGCAGGGTATACAGGGTCTCACTACACAGATTGGACTTGTAGTGATTCTCCTGTTTTGAGCTTCCCAAGTGCTGGCATTACAGGTGTGTGCCACCACACCCTGTGTCATTTGCTGTCTCAGCAGGGCTGGCACTGCACACCAGCGATCGAACCCCCGGCCCCTAGCATCTGCTGAGCTATCTGTCCAACCCTTTCTTTGAGCTTTTGTATGTAAGTTTTTCTGCGATCTACACATTGAAAATTATTATTTTTAAATGTATTTAGTACAGGGTCTACAGGGCCTCACTACATAGATCAGACACATAGTGATTTTCCTGTTTTCAGCCTCCCAAGAGCTAGGATTACTGGCAGAGCCACCACACCCAGTCTCAAATGCAGTCTCAGCATGCCTCAGGGGCAGAGGCGGAGCTGGCTCCACAATCCAGGGATTGAACCCTGGCCATGCGCTCTACCTAAGCAGGTGCTTTAGTCTGCTGAGCTACCTGGCCAGCCTGTACACATTTAAAAGTGTAACTGAGGTGGGATTACTAAGCCACCTGGATGGTGAGCTAATTACCTATACTTAGGGAACTGGAGGGTGGTCTGTATGTGTTTCTATGCACTTATATGCCTGTCTTTCTATGTGTGGGGCCCACTTAACCTAAGTTCCTGCATGTTTACAAACAGTCTTTGGGTTTAAAAAGAAGCCTAAAGAGCTGAGTCAACTCTTACCATCTTAGCCCTTACCCCCCATGCTTCAACTTTCCCTGGCTCCATGCCTTACCTTCTGTTCTGAACCACAATGTAAGTAAGCCTTGCAGGACAGGAAATGAGCCATGATGTTCATGGCCAAAAGAAACCAGTGCACACACACAATGTATGTTTCTATTATGCTCTGGGATGAAAGGAAAAGTAATATGTATCATTTTTTGATTGAAGAAAACAGCAATAATAAGAACCTTGATCTCGACTTAGTGGGGAAAAATCATCCATAAATCAGTGGATGTACTGATATCCAAACATTACTTTGATTAAAAAAGTAATCCTACATAAACTCCTACTTTTCTCTCCTTGGTATCTAAAAATCTTTCATGGCTCCATTGCAGTGCATCTGTGGAGACAAGCATGTGGTGAGCGGGCAGCTGCTCACAGGGTTCTCTTGTCATATTCCTAGCAGCTGATCCAGTTCCAGTCTTCCTGGGAAAGGCCAGTTTCTCACTGCCTATCACCACTGTTTATGCTAAGGGTTTTTCCTCCTAAATCTTCATTCTAAAACTGAATCTAAGTACTTCTCGTTACTTAAAAAAGGCAGAGGTAGGTGGTGTTCCTTTGCAACTCTGTTATCTCATTCTGGATAAAGATAGCCAAGTAAGGGCTGGAAATAAGTCTAGGAAACCAAAGGATGAAATATGATCTCCAAGAACAAAGGAAATGTGTTCCCAGGTAAGGGATAGAGACAAGAGTACTTAACTAAGAATTGGCCCGAACAGGCCAAATAAAACTGCATGTGACATTCTCAGGCATTCTTTTATAAGATAAGATATTCTGTACCTGCTGGTTGAAATATCTTCAAAAGGGTAGAGGATCTCGCCATTGTTACAGATTTCGCAGATGAACCCCTTCTGGCTACAGAGGCTGCAGCTGTACACGTGTGCAGTAGCGAATTTAATGACCTTGCCCAAGAATGGAGCCAGTTTTCCCTCTATTACCTGCAGAAACAGAAATGGGACAGGGAAGAAAATTAGTTGAGAATACAAGTCTTGCAAAAAACAAAAGGAATTCCTTTCCTTTACACAACAGGAAAACCTCTAATTATAATTTCTTAGCAACTCTAAGGAAGAAAAGAGAATTTTTGCTCCAAAAGAACTCTGGTTTAAACCACTGGAGGTTGGAAAATGAAGTTGGGGGAAACTTCTTTTGTATTCCTCTTTCTTTGTAGTTGGTGGGTGGGACTGAGGACCTACTTGAATAAACTAACTTTACACTTAAGGCGTGGTGCAAGAGGAGTGCAATGGGTTTTCTAAAGCAGACTAAGAACATACTAGGAAAATACAAATGTAGAAGTTTATGTGGTAGATTCAATAATACCTTTTCTCTAATGTATTCATGGGATAGCTTTTCATCATGTCCCCCAAGAGCAAATGTAGAAAAAAAAAATGATCCTTTTTGTGGCTGTTAAGTATAATAAAATGAAAAGGTTGGAGTGTGGCAGTCTGAGGGTCATTTTCAGCCTGTAATTTTAGTAATGTTTTAAAAAAAATTGGGAGATTATATATTTTTTTTAAAATCCAGGTTTTTTTAACTTCTTTTTTTTCATAATTTTATTGATAAACATTTTTACTTTTTTAGATAAAAAAAAATCTAATAAAAATTAGGTTCAATATGATGATGGTCTTGGCTCTGAATGGGGGCTTCTTGTTCCTGATGAGGGACATGCTGTCCATTGGACACTTGTGCTCATCAGGCCCTAGTACCTGCTTCCCCATGTTATTTCACCTGCTAGTTTGCAAACACCAAAGTCTCCTTATGTAGTTCCTTGAATTTATTAAGTAGCACAGACTGGCCTCAAACAGGAGATGATCCTCCTTCCTCAACCTCCTAAATGCTGAGATTATGGGCATGCACCACCCACAACTAGTTAAATAGCCATGAGTTTAAACTACTCACTTCACTATTATTTATGAGCTTCAATCTACTTTTACTTTTCTGTCATCAATGCATATGCATATACATGCTAACTTGGGTATAAGAAAAAAATTAAGATTAAATTTGATTTGGAAATAACTGAAAATAAATTAGAAGGACCTAGCTGGATACTTTTAAATGAATACGTAGTTAAGATTATAATTTTACATACAACTAACAGAGAAATCATATGTGTAGAAAAATTACCATGTACAGGTAAGTAAGTAGTACTGATTGGGAATACAAAAATAGAAGAATACAATGAATGTAATCATGTCTTTTACAAAATGAAGCTATTCTAAGAGAGAGAAACTGAGGTGATTTTTTAAACCTCAGGAATACTACAATAATTTATAAGTAATTATAACTTTAGGGAAAAGGACAAATCAGAAAAGCAAGCCTATAATTTTTTTTTAAATGTATTTGGTACAGGTTCTCACTGTGCAGCTCAGACTCATAGTGATCCTCCTGTTTTCAGACTCCCCAGCGCTGGGATTACAGCCATGCCCCACCATGCTGGGTCCCGGTGGCTGGCTCAGTGCATCTAGGAGTGGGGCCGGCGCAGCATGTGCTGCAGGGATCAAATCTGTCCCTGTACTTGCCTAAGCAAGTGCTTTGCCCTCTGAGCTATCTTGCCAGCCCTATAATTTTATATATAGTTATGTTTAGTTTGCATTTAAAAAATGTTATTTTTGCATTAAAATACAGAGAAATAGAGTTTATTTTTCTGTAAGAGTATAGCTTCTTTCCTAAAGGATTAGAAATTACCCTGGCTGTTATCTGAGTCAGGCTAGTATATTTTCCACCATTCTTCAATTGAATTCTCTCTCCGTAACTATTAAGAAGCTGTTGGCAGACTTTCTTTCTGTTCTGTGAGGGACCATTAACTTTGATAAACCCAGTAAGGCATGTTACACATGATACACACTTTCTAAGAAATAACCACTACCAAATCATATAACCAACCACCAGCAAACACTTTCCACTGTGTCATAGGATTATTTCCAAAATGTGGTAACAATACTCCAGTTGAATTTAGCTTTCCTTATTTTACTCTTTTCTTAATTAACTAAAGTTAATGACTCATAAAGAGAGGCACCAGATAACTCAACAGGCAAAACTGGGAAAGTATCAGTTGTTTGAAGAAACTGAAAATGAGAAGAAAACTTTGAGGAAGAATGACAATTTTCATCTAGGATCAAAAAGATTGAGCATCTTGTGCAGAAAGCCTTCCCCCCAAAAAAAAGGTTTCTTTGAACATTTTAAAGGTTCTTGAAATATTTCACCATTTATACTGTCAGCAACATTATATTCATTCCTCTTTTTTTTTTATTTTTTTTATTTTTAGGGAAGGGTCTACAGGGTGTTCAGGGTCTCACTACTAGAATGGACTTGTAGTGATCTGCCTGTTTACAGCCTCCCAAGAGCTGGGATTACAGGTGCGCACCACCACGGCAGGCCCAGGGATCGAAACCCTGGCCCTTACGTCTGCTTGCAGGCGCTTTAATTTGCTGAGCTATTTGGCCGCCCCTTCATTCCCTTTTTTTTTTTTAAATTTTATTTATTTATTTGTGTGTGTGTGTGTGTCCAGCTCAGCCCCAGGGGGCGGGGCTGGCTGGCATGTGGTGCTGGGGGATTGAACCGTGGTCCCTGTGCTTTGCTAAGCTAGTTCTAAGTAGGAGCTCCAGACCACTGAGCCATCTCACCAGCCCCTTCATTCCCTTTTTAAAAAGAATACTTTACACAGGGCTGGCCAAATAGCTCAGTGGATTAAAGTACCTGCAACAAGGCGCAGGGGCGATCCCCAGGCCTGTTGTGCTGGTCCTTCCCCCAGGGCACACTGAGACAGCAATTGAGACTGGGCATGGTGGCACGCACCTGTAATCCCAGCTCTTGGGAGAGTAAATAGGCGGATCACTATGAGTCTGATCTGGTAGTGAGACCCTGAACACCCTTTAGAACCTTCCCTAAAAAAACCCCCAAAAAACAAAAAAAAAAACTTTATACATTTATTAGTTTAGTTTTTGAGATATACTGAAATGTGATAGTTTTTAACATTTTAGTTTGAAAATCTATTTTTATTAGGATATTTCTTTTTTATATACTGTACATTATTATCAAAGCACTTAAGACTTAACTTTTTTGAAAATTTGAAAGTAGAGAAAAGTTACAGGCTTAGTACAAAAGACTCCTGCACACCTCTCTTTTATAATTATTGTTTTTAAAGAGTAAAAATTAGAATTAAAACAAAAAATTACAAGTGATTCAGAATTTCACTTAACAAAGTAATATGAATTTCACAGTATTTGTTGTAATACATAGTGCTGTCTTCCAACCAGTTATTCATATCACCAGATATATGCATGTAAAATTGGAAGAAGAAAGGAAAAAGGAAAGAGATGAGTAAGAAATTAAGAATAGAAAAAGTACAAACAATTGAAAAAAAGGAGATGGAACAAATTAAAGCATTAACTGCTGGACTTTAATTTGTAGATTTATATGTTTATAATAGTCTTTCCTAAAGAACCTGATGATACCTATCTCGAGTTATGAAATCTTTATTATTGTTTAACAAAGTTTTGTTTTCTTGTATAAGCCATTCACATTTATTACTTAGGTTATTTCAAGGTTAAATTTTTAAATAATGTTCTTATTAGCTATCACTGGTATATTAGAATATATTGACATTTTGGTGCATCTGAAATATGACCATTTTCCTGTATTTCATCAATGCTAGTCATTTTTAGGTGATTTTTTTTTTGATCTTTTATTTATGTATTTGGTACAGGGTCTCACTGTGCAGCTCAGACTCATAGTGATCCTCCTCTCTCAGCTTCCTCAGTGCTGGAATTACAGGTGTGTGCCACCGTGCTTGGTTTGGAGCCAGCACAGCATGTGGTACTGGGGGATCGAACCCGGGTCCCTGCACTTGCTGGGCAGGTACTTAGATGGCTGCGCTATGTCCCTTGCCCTTTTAGGTGATTCTTGTGAAGGCCTATGAAACCAAAAAACTGGTTTTTCCTTTCTAATATTATATCACCTCTTTGTTTCATGTTTTATTGTATCATTCAGAGTTTCTAAAATGATATTAAATGATAATAGTGCTAGTGGTCATAATTGTTATTTCATTGAGAATCAAATTGGACATTATGAAATCTACTGTGAATGACTCATTTTCTTAATTAAATGTTTCCTGTCATTCCTACATTTCATTGATTCCTTCTCCCTATATTTTATTTTATTTATTTATTTTTGTAGTACCGGGGATTGAATTCAGGAGCCTGTGCTTGAAAGGCAAGCACTTATTCTACTGAGCTATCTCCCCAGGCCCAAATGTAATCTCTCTCTCTTTATTTTTATTTATTTTTTGGTAGAACCGGGGACTGAACTCAGGCCCTTGTGCTTGCCAGGCAAGTGCTTATTCTACTGAGCTATCTCCCTGGCCCTTTCCCTATATTTTAATAATACCTTTATTGAAATATAATTCACAGCCCATTTAAAATGTGAAATTCAATTTTCTTTAGTTTACTCGTAGAACTATATACTATTAATATAATCACTTTTAGAATGTGCCATCCTTTAACTCTCATACTCCTTAATAGTTACTCTGATACTTCTTGTCTCTATAATTTGCCTATTTCATATAAATGGAATCTTATAAGAGGTATTTTTTGGTGACTGGCTTCTTTTAATCAGCATGAAGTTTTTGAGGTGTATGCTGTTTCTTTTAAATGTCTATAATCTAAGTCTCTCTTTTTTTTTATCCTACTCAGGCTTTTATCTCTCTCTCCAGGTTAATGAAAGAATATCCTGATTTTATTTCCAGATGCCAGTCTTTTCCCTTTGGTCTATTCATCACATACATTAGATACCACTTGCATACCATGATGCATAATAGCATGAGCATTTTCATTAATCCTTAGTAAAGTCTTACTGTATCATGAATCAGAGCTTCTGACCCATGCATTTTCATTAAATTATACTGCCCCAGTACAAGAGTAAACTAGATAAAATTAAGAGCTTA